GCTGCCCCCAGCCTCCCGGTGGGCATCCCTTCCTTTTGCCCTGTGCCCCTTGGGTCTTCACTTGCTTCTGCGTCCCCTTTGTCCTGGGACATTAGGCAGGGGACTGGAGGGCCCATCTGATCTCTCTAACTGGTTTGCCAACCTCCGCCCGCGCCCCGCTGTCACGTGACCCCTCTCCTGTCACGGCTCTGTGAGCAGAGGCGTGTGCTGACTTCCTACCTGCAGTTCAAAGCCAGAGATGCTCTGGGGCAACCCCGATTGGCCCTGGCAGCCTCCAGTGCCTCCCTGCAGCTCGGTTGGGCACCCCAGTGCCTGTCAGGCCTGTACCACTGGGTCGAGTATCACTGTGGTACCCAGGATGTGGCCTTTTTTTAAAAAAAAAATATATATGCCTCTTAAAAAGCACCCTTAATGTTTTCTTATATTTTAGAATAGAGGAAGTCGGGATCTGGAGCAGCAATTTCATCACGTGGGCACTAGAGGGCCCCCGAGATCGGAGTTTGCAGAAACTCGCTAAGGATGCAACTTCCCAGCCTCATCTGGAGAAAGAGGTTCCCTTGCTTCAAATGGGCCAGTGCAGTTGCTCAGACTGCTGTTCTGTTTTATTGTCCCGTTTATTCGTTTTTTTTTTTCTTTTTGGGTCACACCCAGCGATACTCAGGGGTTACTCCTGGCTCTGCGCTCAGGAATTACTACTGATGGTGCTCAGGGGATACCGGGGATTGAACCTAGGTTGGCCACGTGCAAGGCAAACACTCTACCCACTGTGCTATCGCTCTGTCCCCTGTCCTGTTTATTCTTGAAGGCGAATGGGGCTCTGTGTATCCAGGGTTCAATCCTGGCGGCACGTGGGGGATTTATGCAAGTCCTGAGCATTGAACCTGGGACAGCTGCGTGCAGAGCAGCTGTGTCCTTGCAAAGCTGTGCTGTCTTCCCGATGCAGCCAAACTCTCTGAGTCAGGCCCTCCTGCCCGTCACCATCTGACTGACTTCTGCCTCCCCAGTTTTCTGTTGGTGATTGGCCACTAAGGAACCAGGTGGCAGCTCGTTGCAGAAAGGGAGCACTTGCCTCACGCAGGAGGTCCCAAGTTTGGTCCCCAGCACCTCATGGTCCTCAAGCAGCACCAGAGGTAGCCTGGAGCCTCGCCACAAGGCACAGGACTGCATAACCTCTTCACGCATCTCCACAAGTGGCCTGTGGCTCCCCCCGTGCCCTTCAGACACACACACACACACACACACACACACACACACACACACAAACCAATTTGCTGGGGAAGCCACTTGGAGCGCTCCTGCCTTACCCAGACCCTGACAGCTCAGCTCCTGTTGTCCCTCCTCTCAAAGCAGCGGGGTACCTGTGCGTTGCACCCCAACCGAAGGATAGGGACATCCCCCTCTCCCAAACCAGTGCCGTGCTAAAACAAAGGCGTGCAAGCCGCAAAGCTAGAAAGTAGCTAACGAGCATGCGTGCGAGCTCCGTGGGCGCCTCTGTGGGCCCCACAAGGATGTCGCAAGCAAAGGGTGGACCCCCAGGGGATCCTGAGGAGTGAGTGGGCGGACAGCGGCAAGGGACTTGCCACACACAGACAGAAGGCAGTTCAGTCGCCAGCACCACATAGAGGCACCAAGGCCCCACCGGGAGTGATTCCTAAGCACAGCGGAGTGTGGCTCAAACTATGTCCCTGAACTTCCTGTTTTCTGAAATTATCTCCATTTTGCTGTGACTTTTGTTCTGTTTTGTTCTTGGGATTTTGGGTCACACCTGGCAATGCCCAGGGGTTACTCCGGGCTGTGCACTCAGGAATCACTCCTGGCAGTGCTCGGGGGACCATGTGGGATGCCAGGGATCGAACCCAGGTTGGCCGTGTGCAAGGCAAATGCCCTACCCGCTGTCCTCTCACTCCGGCCCCACTGTGATGTATTTTAAAAGTTTTTGAAAGAGGCCCCCTCGAGTGTTACTGAAGGATCAGGGTAGGGGGCTGGGGGGGAGGGGGTGTGCAAGCAAGCCTCAACCTGACTCCCTGACAGTCAGTGCTAGGCTGGGCACCGTGGTGTTGGAGGCCACCAGGGTGACACCTGGTGGTGCCTAGGGGGAGGGCATGCAGTGCCAGGGGTCCCACTGGGGCCTGAACACAAATGCTGGCCCTTTGAGCCTTCTCCCCAGAACTGACCGCGGTATGTTCTGATTCATCATTTAAATGTTTCTTATCTGAAAGTTCCATCCCAGTGGTCATTGGTGTCATCACTCATTTGCTTTATCTCCCACGACATGCACGTGTGTAGGATAGCAATACAAAGGGAGGTCAAAGGTCTGGGCCACGAGCTTTGCATGCAGACGGGAGCCATGCTGCAATTCTCAGCACCACATCAGCCCCAGAAGCACCAACCTGAACAAGCTCAGGGCACAGCCCGGGAAGGTATGTTCTAGCAGGGTGAGGGTGTGGCCCAGAACAGATAAGATTTTCCTGACTATTAGGGTTTCACTGAGGGCTCAGCTGGAGGGAGTATAGCTGATAAGGCACCTTATTGCAACAACTGACCCTGAGCCCGCTGGGACTAACCCCTGAACACCAGTAGGTGTGGCCCAAAATCCAGAATCATTTTTCTTTTTTTCTTTTTTTTTTGCTTTTGCTTTTTGGGTCACACCCAGCAATGCACAGGGGTTACTCCTGGTTGGTTCATGCACTCAGGAATTACTCCTGGCCGTGCTTGGGGGACCATATGGGATGCTGGGAATCGAACCCGGGTTGGCCGCGTGCAAGGCTAACGCCCTACCCGCTCTCCTATCACTCCAGCCCCTAGAATCATTTTTCAGAGTTTCACTGGGCCAAAATGAACAACTGCAAAATGGTTTTTAGACTTTCACGGCAGCCCGGAATTAGGAAAAACTTTCTTCCTTTTTTTCTTTCTTCTTTTCTCCTCTCTGTTGGTTTTTGGTTTTGGTCACACCCTGTGGCACTCAGGGCTCCTCCCGGCTCTGTGCTAGTGACCACTCCTCATCATATGTGGTGCCAGAGATGGCCGCATTTAAGGCCAGCGCTCTACCTGCTGTACCGGCTCTGTCCCACATCAGGTTGTGTGCAGTTTATGTAACTAGGCTTCATGCTCAGTAAAAAGCACACAGTTCCCTAGCAGAATTCAAAAAGAAACACTGGCTGGGGCTGGAGGGGTAGAACAGTGGGTAGGGTACTTGTGCTGCATGAGGTTGATCCAGGTTCTGTCCCTGCATTCCATGTGCTCTCCTGAGCACTGCAAGGAGTGATTACTGAGTGTTGGGTCATGAGTAATCTCTAGGTGTGCCCTCCCCCTATCCCCCCAAAAGGAGACGCTGGATTAATTTCCTACATTCTTGCTTCTGATTAATAAGGAATTTTACAAGCCTGGCAAGCTACCCGTGCCATATTTGATATGCTAAAAACAGTACCAACAAGTCTCACAATTTGTTGTGAGACATTACTGGTGTCTACTCGAGCAAATCAATGAATAATGGGAAGACAGTGACAGTGACAGTGATCATACAAAAATTATTTATGTCTGAGTGCAGAGTATGAACACCATTTTGAAGCTATATGTATATATGTGTAATATGATCTATTGCTATAGTTATATATTAAGAATATAATTTTGATGCTGTGCATATTCCATCTGTGTATCTAGCACTGTGATAGCATCAGAATGTTTACTCTGCAGTCGGACACTCCAGGTTGGTAAATTCCTTTGTTCTAAAGCCCCAGCACTGGCGAAGGGGCTGGCTGTGCAGTCCAGGCTCAGCTCCTGCTCGTTCTAGCAACTCCCCCAGGCATCTGCTTGGCCTGGGCCCCAGGCTCCCTGGGATCTGACTTCTTCCCAGCCACAGTTTCTGCTGACTCCAGCCTCTGCAGCAGCTCTGCAGTGTTTTCTCAGCAGAGACATTGCCAACAGACTGAATCCTTCTGCAGTCCACATTTCCATCCTGGATTCACTGAATCAGTGATGGAAAAATGACCGGACAAACATGAAGAATAACTAGATCTTTGCTATGGAGCATTCACTTTTTAAAAAATTTTTATCTGTTTATTTATGTTTTGTTTTTTGGGTCACACCCAGCGATGCACAGGGGTCACTCCTGGTTCATGCACTCAGGAATTGCTCCTGGCCATGCTTGGGGGACCATATGGGATGCTGGAAATTGAACCTGGGTCAGGCCTCATGCAGGGCAAATGCCCTACCTGCTGTGCTATCACTCCAGCCCCTCACTTTTTTTTTTGAAGGTAGGATCATTGTGGTCCATTTTTCATTTCAAACAGACCTTCTTTAGAGATACATATTTACGCATCTATAAATGAAGTGATGGCAAACATTTGCTTCTCTGGGGGAAAAGGCTGTAGCTACAGACGGTCAAGACTGTCCAAACGGAACGGATGGATGGTCCAACAGGCAGGCGCTTGCCTTGCACACTGCCTGCCATGGTTTGATCCCTGGCCCACATGCGGCACCACCAGGAGTGATTTCGGTGCCATCGTGTTGTGGGTGATCACTCCCAGTGGTGCTGGCTGGGGGTGCCAGGCGCAGGGCACGTGCTCTACCTGCCACTTGAGGCATGTCCCCACCCCTCCAGGAACGCTTTGACCTTAGACGGTCTTTTCGGGAAAGGAGACACTTTTACTGGGAAAGAGTCCTCGGGAGTCACCTTCCCCCTTTTCTCCCCCACACCGGAGGCAAGCCTGCCAACGAGGCCCTCCCGAGAGCCCCGGCTGGCATGTGAACGCAGGCGTGCCGGGGACCGTCCCCAATCGCCATCCCCGACATCCCCCGGGCGGCGCCGTCCCGCTCTGTGCGCGCATCCCTCGCCCTTCCGGGTCCGGCACACACATCCAAGATGGCGGGCGGGGACGGCCGAGAGGTCGGCGCGTCCCTTCCCGCGTCTGCGCAGGCGCCGGGCTGCGCGCAGGCGCGGAGCCGCTCCCGGGAGCCGACCTTGGCGGACGGCGCCTGCGCGGTGGGGCGCGGCGGACGGCGCCTGCGCGGCCTCGGGGCCGGCTGCAGTCTGGGCGTGCGGGCGGCCGCGGCGGCGTCGGTGGCGGCGGCGGCGGCGGCGACCATGAGGCGGCTGCTGCTCTTCCTGGTGGCGGCGGCGGCCGTGGTCCGCAGCGACGCCTCCGCCAACCTGGGCGGCATCTCGACCAGGCGCCTGAAGATGCAGTACGCCACGGGGCCGCTGCTCAAGTTCCAGATCTGGTGAGTGAGGGCGCGCCGGCGCCCCGGCCGCGCCGCGCCGCGCCCGGCCTCCCGCGCTACGCGAGGCCCCGGCTCGGCGGCCTAGTGCGCCGGGGAGCGGCCGGACAGGCCGGTCAGGGCCGGCGTTTCGCCGTGGCCACCGGGCGGGCTCGGGCGTGAGTCGGCGCGGCCCCCGGCCCCGCTGTCCCTCCGCCCCGCTGACCTCCGGCCCCGCTGTCCCCTCGTCCCGCCTGACCCCCGGCCCGCCGATCCCCCGCCCCCCGTCACCCCGCCCCGCTCACCCCCCACTCGCAGACCCCCTCCCCGCTGACCCCCGGCCCCGCTGACCCCCCACTCCGCAGACCCCCGCCCCGCTGACCCCCGGACCGTTCGCTCCCCCCGGCCCCGCCCATCTTCCTGCCCCGCTGACCCTACGGCCCCCGCTGACCACCCCCGGTCCCGCCGACTCTCCGGTCCCGCTGCCTCCCCGTTTTCGCCGACCCCCGGCCCCGTCGCCCCCGGGAAAAGCCACCGGCCGTTTCCGAATCTCCGGCCCGGCGGGCGCCCCGCCTGGGCTCGCAGGCGTTGCAGAGGCTCGGAATGGGGGCGAGACACCCCCAGGGGCACCCGGGGAGAGGAGGGGTCGGCGGCTAACGCTGCTGCACTGTGCACCCGGGGTGACCCCGCGTGCCCCCAGCGCCGCCAGGACCGACCCCCGCGGAGCACCCCCGGGCGTGGCCCAAAGGTCGGGCGGACCCAGAACCCAGACGTCCGAATTGTCAAACCGCAGCCGGGTGGGGCCCCCTCCCCCGCGGGGCAAGGGGCGGCGGAGAAACGGGAACATCGAAGAAACGGGAACATCGCAGGGAGCGCCAGGTTGGTGCCAGCAGGGAAGTTGGCCTGGCAGGGACCGGTCCCCTCTCCCGAGGCCTCGCGTGTCGGCGTGTGTTCCTGCACTGGGGTCTGCTCCGTCCGGTGCTGGTCCCCGCTCGATCTTTGGGGGAGACCGGCCGGGAAAGTGAGGCGGGGGTGAGCGCTGAAGCCCGAGCTGCTTTCCTTTCCAGAGAAGCTTCCCGAACAGCCTCCCTGCAGGCGGCGTTGAGGTGACGCCCGAGTGGGAGCGCCCTCCGCCTCTGACTTTCCCCTTGAATTTTTCACCTAGGAGGCAGTGGTCACTCGTTCAACACCGTGAATGTTGTGAAGGATTAAATGTGATGATTTTTGGATTTTAGTAGTTAAAAAAGGTGGCCAGGTTGCAGGTTCCCACGGTACATGATTTTATTTCCCCCATACTCCCTACTGTTGTGTCCATTCTTCCGGTTGTGTTTTCCCAGAATGCTTTGAAGATGTTTATGTTGGGATACTATTAAAATAATTTAAGTGGGACTGGAGCAATAGCACAGCGGGTGGGGCGTCTGCCTTGCATGCGGCCGGCCCCGGTTCAATTCCCAGCATCCCATGTGGTCCCCCTAACACCGCCAGGAGTGATTCCTGAGTGCAAAACCAGGAGTAGCCCCTGAGCATCGCAGGGTGTGACCAAAAAGCAAAATAATAATAATAATAATAATAATTTAAGTGTTCCTTCTCTGAGAATAATCATAGCAAACTTCAGAATGCTTAAAACTGTTGTAGGGAAGAGAATGAAGTCCTTCAAATTAAACTTCAAGTTTTCTTTTTTTTTTTTAAAGCTTAAAGTACTTCTTCAAGGAGTACCTTGCAAAGGCTGAGCTAGGAGGAGTCCCAAAAAACCCAAACACCTTTTGATATTTAGGTTTTCTTCTTTTGCTTTTAAATTCAAATTGATTAAAAAATTTAAATCAAAAGGTCTAATAAGAGGGAAATTTTATTTTTGTCACCTTGAGCATATATGCAGAAATGCTTCAGGATTGTTTCTTTTTTTTTGATTCATCTGTAGATTGGAAATAACTATGAATACAGGTGACTTTCAAATACAGGTAACTTGAGTTTGTGACTTGTTGCTTTTCCCCCCAGAGAGCAATCTGTATATTGCAAATTGAAATTGGGTTTTTGATTCGGACTGCCTCTTGGAAATTTCTTTGGGAAAGAAGAGGAAGCTGAACAATTGAGAAAAGATAAGAGAAAGTTCTTCCGGTTCCTTTTGAGATTGAGTTATAAAATGCATTTCCCCCGCTATTAATCATCCCCGTTAGGGTAGCGCTAACTCGGGGACTGAGTGTGTCGTGCCTTGCGTACAGATTGGGTTGGATCACCAAACCCTCACAGGAGGGGTCCCTGAGCACTGAGCCAGGAGCAAGCCCAAAACATGCCAGGATGCATGTTTTTAAAACGGCAGGGGAAGAAGAGTTTAATAAAGGAGAGAACTGTTTTACCTTCTTTCGCATTGCTGTGGTCCCTTTGATTGTGATGTTATTTTCTTTGATTTGAGTTCATATCATCCGTGAATTGTATCACTTTTGTGACTGCTAATATATCAGAATAGCAGTGTAATGCAAATGACTTTTAAAACTTTTTTCTTTGTATTTTGGCCACATCTGGCTTGGTGCTTAGGGGACCACGCAGTGGCAGGAATCGAACCCAGGGCCTCACACGTACGTGGCGGGTGCTGTGCTGCTGAGCCACATCCCTGGCCCTGCAGTAGATTGGAAGGGAAAGATCATGCTTGCAACAGAGCTTGGAACAACCTACCCTCTTCTGCCATCATGCACTTTTCAATAAGTATTCATTCAGCACTATTTTTGTGACAGGAACTAAAGATAACTTTGATTTGCAAGACAGATACAGCACCTCAGGAATTCTGCAGAAGTGGTATGCCCAAGTGTGTGTTTTTTTGTGCCAGTTAATTAATAGAATGAGGTAGTTTGACATTAATTTTATATTTGGGGAAACATTGATCCAGCTTGTTTGGATATTTAAATATTAAACATTTTACAAAGAAAGCACTTAGATTTAAAAATCTACTCTTGCAGTAGTGGCTTTATTCACCTCTTACCCCTCATTTTTAAGCTGGCCTGTACAATTACAGCAGTAGATCCTAAAATTTTAGTTTAGGGTTCTCTTGTCCCGGTTTCTTGTTATTTTTATAAGAAAATGTATTTGTATACAGGCTTTATTTTGTCACGTATATGTGATTTAACATAATTAGACTGATAATAGAGTCAGTACAGTTAAGATTTCAAAACAAAATAAAACAGTTGAATTTTTAGGATCTACTGCTGTAATTGTACAGGCCAGCTTAAAAATGAGGGGTAAGAGGTGAATAAAGCCACTACTGCAAGAGTAGATTTTTAAATTTAATTTTATATCAACTTAACCTTTACTTTCATGGCATAACATCAAGACAATAAAGATCTAAGTTCTGTTTGGTTGTTGATACCAATTTAGTTTTGTTTGTTTTGGGGGAGCCATACCTGGCGATGCTGGGGTTTGCTCCGACTCTGCTCAGGGTTGAGTCCTGGAGACTCTGGGGACTGTCAGCTGGTGGGGGTTGGCCTGGGGTCATGCGAGGCGCCCCTGGGTTGGTGAGTGCGCGGCATTCGCGTCTCGCCCCGGCCCTGTGTGGGCATGTTTCTTGTGCTGGGACTCCGCTTCGGTGTTCATGTGGATGTTACGGCAGGAGTTGGTTGAAGTCAGTCATTGGCATTCCATGGAGAGAACCTTGGGGTGTAAAGAACCAAGCCCAGAGCCTCGACACGCCAGTGGTCTGCCAGCGCCGTTGCCCAAACCCAACACTTGATATAAACGCTGTGAAGAAAAGTCATGTGGGGTGAGAGCCGTGGTCCTGGCTTCAGGCTTTGTACAGGACAGGAACTCTGAGCTAAGACTCGAGGGGTTTGGTGTGTTCGGGGAGCTGCTGAGAACGGGACGGTTTCCCACACTTAGCCACCTTGAAGGGCAAAGGACAGGATCTCCGGAGGCCAGGCTTGCTCACCTCAAAGGACCAGAACAGGCGGCGGGTGGAGGACCCGCGGCCATGCCATGTGAGGAGAGATCAGACGTCGGGAAGAAGCCTTGGGGGGGGGCGGCACGGAGTGCAGGTCAGAAACCGCTGAACAGTGTTGGAGCCGCCCAGGCAAGTTGATGAACTTGGAATCAAAAATTAGCGGAACATCTAAGGGGCAGGTTTAAAAGATCTTGAAAGGACTGGAGAGGACGGGCAAGGTGCTTGCCTTGCATGTGGCTGGCCCAGGTTCTATCCCTGGTGCTGCATATCGTCCCCCTGAGCACTGCTGGATGTGACCCAATAACCGCCCCAGAGTCTTTGAAAGGGCTAGGGTGCTGCTCTACTTGCTCGGGTGCTGCTCTACTTGTCAGAGATCTCGGGCTCAGTCCTGGGCGCGCAGCCCGCACATTTTCATCTCCCCACAGAACCACAGTGAATCAAATCCGAAACTTAAGTTACTGTATTTCACCAAACGGAAAAAGATGCTGCCACTAAATGGACACACTCCTGGTGATAGATTAGAGCTCTTGTTTCTTTGTGTGTTTCTTCTGTTTGTTTGTGCTTGGGCGCTGCCTTGGTGGTGCTTAGGGCCTATTGTTCTCAGGGAATCAATCCCATTGTGGTGCTGGGGGTTGAACTTGGGTTGGCCACAGGCACGCAAGCATGGTAGCCCTGGTCCTGTTGGTTTGGGTTTGGTTTCTGGGCCACAGGTGGCCATGCATGGGGGCTACTCTTGGTGCTGTGCTGGGGGGGGAATTGCCCCCAGCAGTGATGGGGGACCAAGTAGTGGCAGGGGTCACAGCTGGCCGCCTGCATTCACAGCAGGTGCCCACTGAGTGTTCTATCCCAGTGGCCCAGTTTTCAAAGGCGGTTGCAAATGTGACATACATAAGCGCTCAGTCCCAATATAAGACTGCCAAGGAGCTGTAATATTGGGCTGGGATGGGGCTCCAGGGGGCAAGCACATGCCCTGCCCATGGGATCCTCTGAGCACAGCCCAGTGCTCCACCCCATCACCCCCCTGCACTGCCCAGCCCTTCCCCTGCACTCTTGGGTGGGGCCTGCAACTCATCCGAGAGAGACGAAATTAGAAGGAGGC